ACTGTGCGGATCTGCAGTTGGTTCATTCTGGACTTGTCCTGTCTGAACCCCTGGGTCTGTTGCCCCTCTTTTTGGATGACTACTCTGTCCCGGGTCTGGCTTCTGTTGGAGCCGGGCACTTAGATGGTGTCTCTGGACTTTTAAGATGCGTATTGGCGCGTCCTGATTCATCCAGGGTTCAGGGATTGGCTCGGTTTTGTTGGGGAGCATTTTGGTTACCGCTTTCGTTGTCTCCCGTTCGGGCTGGACCTGGCACCCCGCGTGTTCTCATGCCTCAACTGGGTCATGGTGTCCCGTCTCCATTTGTTTGGGGTTTGGGTGCTGGCCTACTGCATCGCCTGGCTGGTGTGAGCTCCCAGCCAGTCCGAGTGTCTGCTCGCCAGGGTTTGGTTCTTTCCTGGCCCGCCGAGTCCGGGTTCCTGGTGTACTGGAGGACCGTCTGGTTCCCTTTTGGTTCGGCCTTGGCTGGGTCCTGTGTAGGACTCTTGAACCGCTTCCTTGTCTCTCCCTCTGGCGTCTCTGCTTTGGTTGCGGTCCCGCCTTCGCTTGGTTGGGGGCTCACGGGTCACCTGGCGGATGCTCAAGGGTTGTGCAGGAGCTTGTAGTTACTATGTTGGTCTAACCACTGGTTCGGATTTGGCTTCGTTTGATGTTCGGGTTCCTTTGGGGACGTCCCTTCTGCCTCTTTCTCGTGATCGTGGGGTTCGGCCTCTGGAGGCATTGCGTCGGCTGCCGTGTTGCTGGCTTCCCCGTCGGGTTTTCAGAGTTCCGCTGTTGCTCTTGACCCTAGCTTGCTTGGAGACTTACCAGGGATGAAGTAGTCCTCTTGACCCTGGGTGGCCACCTCAGTTTTGGTTTCAGGCGCTGCTTGCCCGGGCTCCCTGTGACCGTGTCTTCTGGGTCTCGAGCATTCGACAACCTCAGGCCACAGGCCTAGTTGCTCGAGGGCCTGTGCGGGAGCCTGAACTTTGCGATGATGGTCTACCCGGCGGGTCGGGTTTGGCTTCATCGGCTGTTCTGGTTCCTTCATGGACGTCTCTTCTGCCTCTCTCGCGATCGCTGGATTTGGTCCCCCGGGTGCCTTACGTCGGCTGCTGCGCTGCCAGCTTCCTCTTTGAGTTTTTTGGGGTTCAGTGCCTTGGCGCCTACCTGAGCCCACGCTTGATGTGTTCACAGATGCGTGGTCTCTCGGCTGGGATATTGTGACCAATGCTCACCAGGTCAGTCAGGGGCGGTGGGGTCCGTTCTTCCGTTTTGCCCACAGCACGGTGTAGGAGTTTGCGGCGGTGTGGTTTGCACTTCGGAGGGTTCGAGTCACCCGTGAATCGACGCTCTGGCTACATTCGGACTGCTCCCTGGTGGTTCATTGTCTGAACCGAGGGGGTTCAATGCGGTCCTTGGTTTTTTGGGGCTGGTCACTTCGGGTGACTCATCTGCTGAGTTCTCAGGGTTTGACTCTTCTGGCAGTTCACGTCCAAGGGGTGTCCAACGTCCTCGCGGACAGCCTGTCCCAGTTCATTCCTCTGTCCGCGGAATGGATGGTTGTTACCGGCTCATTCAGTTAGGTCTGCTAGATGTTCGGGTGCCCGGAAGTGGACCTCTTTGCATTGGCGTGGTTGTAGTGTCTTCCAGAATATGTGGCGCCCTTTCCCGACCGCATGGCCATCGGGATCAGTGCTTTCTGGCAGGACTGGTCGAGGTGGAGGTTCCTGTACCTCTTTCTCCCGGTTCAATTTTGCTCCAGGTCCTAGTTTGCTTGGAGACTTACCAGGAGGCGAGTAATCCTCTTGACCCCTTGGTGGGCAACACAGCCTTGGTTTCAGGTGCTGCTTGCTCGGTGTCTGAACCCAGAGGTTTTCCGCAGCTCCGCCTCTTTCAACAGATCGGTCCAGTCCGTTACAGGACTGGTTCGCTCTTCTCCTCGAGTCTTCGCGTTTGATCTTTTTGACTCAGATCTTTTACCGTCTGTATGTTCTTGTATTCTGAATTACCGTCTTGATCAGGTGGCTTCTTTGATGGTGTCCCACCTGTGGGCTTCGTCTCGGCTGCAGTATGAAGTTTCCTGGCAGTCCTTCCATTTCTTTTTGACTCTTCGTCGTTGTACTTCGCTTTTGGTTAAGGGTGTTTTGTCCTTTCTCTCGTGGCTGTTTCAGGACAGTCATCTTATGCCGGATACTGTCGCCTCGTATCGTACTGCGTTGGCGGAGCCTCTGCAGCTTGCTTGCTTGCCGTATAGATGTTACTTCTGTGACGTTTTGCAAGCTGTCTCATGCGTTGTTTCACTTGCTGCCTGCTCATGCTCTGCCTGAGCCATCCTAGTCTTTGGACAGAGTGCTCTCCTATCTCTCTTCTCCTCGGTTTGTTGTGGCGCCTTCGGTTCAGGATTGTTTTTTTAAGGCTCTTTTCTTGTTGGCATTGGCCTCTGGGGATCGAGTCGGGGAGCTTCATGCTCTCCTCTGGTGCAGGGGTTTCTGCTTTTTTGGTCCTGGTGGTCATTTTGTTCGTTTGCAGTCGTCTCCTTTTGTGGCGAAGAATGAGACTGCTGCTTTCCAGAGGGGTCCTTGGGTTGTTGATTCGGCCTGGGGTACATCATGTTTTCGCCGTTACTTGCACGGCATGGTCTCTGTGACAGGTGATGGGCTTTGGGTTGACCAGGTTTCCCTTCTTCCCTGTTCCAGGGCTAGGGTCTCTCAGGTCGTCCTCAGGATTATTCGGTCCAGCCAACCTGCGGTCTATCCCCGTGCCCACGACGTTCGTAAGTTCGCGGCTTTGGCTGCTGTTTTTTGTAATAGGTCCTGGGCTGACATTTGGGCATAGGTGACATTTGGGTCAAACAGGGTCCTGACCACACGGTACCTTGTTAAAGTTCCGGGCCCTTCTCGGGCTTGTGTTGCTTTGGGTCGCAGGTTGCAGCCAGTTGTCTCGACTTCGAGTTGAGGAGCAAATGGCGGCCGCCTCCCGGGTAAGTTCCTCTTTTCCTTTATCTTTGATTAGATAGCTCCAGGGAGCTGAAGGGGCTCTCCTCAGAAAACCAGCATTGAAGGTAATAAAACGCCATTTTCTGGGTGAGACCAAGAGGCTCCCGGCATCCCTCCCTCCAGTTTTAGGGAGGTATTGATATTCAACCTCTGAACTGGGGTTGGTAGCTGGCATGGGAGGTCTGGGGCTTCCCTTCCCCCTCCCAGAGAAGGGGGGGGGGGGGAAGCTGTGCAGACAGCGGCACAGCGGCTGTGGTGATGTCATGTTTGTTTGCTTGTTTTCTGATTGGGGTGTTCTGCCTGCTCATTCTGCTTTTGGTTTGCAATTTTTAACCAGCTGTAGTTTGCTTTGGGATTCCTACCTTTCTGGGTGCCTGACATGGTAGATGGCAGACATAAGAACATAAGAATAAAGGTAACTACAGAAGGCCTATTGGCCCATACGAGGCAGCTCCTATTTGTAACCACCCAATCCCACTCATATACATGTCCAACCCAAATTTGAAACAATCAAAGGACCCCCACTTCCATCACGTTACACAGTAATTGGTTCCATAAATTAACAACCCTGTTACCGAACCAGTATTTACTCAGGTCTTTCCTAAGTCTAAACTTATACAATTTATACCCATTGTTTTGTGTTCTGTCTTGTGTTAATACTTTTAATACCCTATTAATATACCCTGTGTTATGTCCATTCATCCACTTGTAAACCTCTATCATGTCACCCCTAACTCTTCGTCTTTCCAGTGATACATGGTTGATACCTGATTGATGGGGTTCTGGGAGTTCTTCTACTCCCCAAGCCCAGCCCGAGGCCAGGCTTAACTTGTGAGAGTTTTATCCACTAGGCTGTTGCTTGCAGCGGCCTGCAGGCCCACATATCCACCACAGCCTGGTTGGTTTGGCACTCCTTGGAGAAAATGATCAAGTTTTCTCTTAAAGATGTCCACGGTTGTTCAGACAATATTTCTTATGCTCGCTGGGAGGATGTTGAGCAACTGTGGATCTCTGATGTTTATACAGTATTCTCTGATTGTGCCCATGGCACCCCTGTTCTTCACTGATTCTATTCTGCATTTTCTTCCATATCGTTCACTCCAGTATGTTGTTATTTTACTGTGTAGATTTGGAACCTGGTCCTCCAGTATTTTCCACGTGTATATTACTTGATATCTCTCTCGTCTCCTTTCTAGCGAGTACATTTGGAGAGCTTTGAGGCGATCCCAATAATTTAGGTGCTCTTTTGCGTCTATGTATGCCGATATGTTCTCTGTATTCCCCTTTATTTCAGCAATCTCTCCTGCTCTGAAGGGGAGAGCGAGTACTGAGCAGTTCTCAAGATGGGACAATACAAGTGATTTGTATTGTATAACCATTGTGAAGGGATCCCTGGATTTGAAAGTTCTCGTAATCAAATCCGATCATTTTTCTGGCTGACGCAATATTTGCTTCGTTATGCTCCCTAAACATTAGGTCATCAGACATCATTATTCCCAAATCCTTTACATGCTGCTTTCCTACTATGGGCACATTTGATTGTGTTTTGTACCCTGTATTATGTTTAAGGTCCTCATTTTTACCGTACCTGAGTACTTGGAATTTATCACTGTTAAACGTAATGTTATTTTCCGTTTCCCAGTCGAAAACTTTATTAATATCTGCTTGAAGTTTTTCAATGTCTTTAGCCAAGGTAATTTTCATGCTGATTTTTGTGTCATCTGCAAAGGATGATACGAAGTTGTGACTTGTATTTTTGTCTATATCTGATATGAGAATAAGGAAAAGCAGTGGTGCAAGGACTGTACCTTGAGGTACAGAACTTTTAACTGCGCTTGGACTCGATTTTACATGATTGACTGTTACTCGTTGTGTTCTGTTTGACAGAAAACCTAGTATCCAGCGTCCTAATTTACCGATTATTCCCATTGACCTCATTTTGTGTGCTATCACTCCATGGTCACATTTATTGAATGCCTTTGCAAAGTCCATGTAGACCACATCAGCATTCTGTTTTTCTTCTAATGCCTCAGTGACTTTGTCGTAGTGATGAAGAAGCTGTGAGAGGCACGATCTTCCCGCTCGAAATCCATGTTGGCCTGGGTTGTGAAGGTCATTGGTATCCATGAAATTGGTAACCTGACTCCTAATCACTCTCTCAAATACTTTTTTTATGCAGGACATTAGTGCAACTGGTCTATAATTCTTTGCCAATGCTTTGCTCCCTCCTTTGTGTAGAGGGGCTATGTCTGCTACTTTAAGTGCATCTGGTATCTCTCCTGTGTCCAAGCTCTTCCTCCATACTATACTGAGTGCCTGTGCTACTAGCACTTTGCATTTCTTTATAAATATTGAGCTGAGTGTATGGGCATGTTTTCAATTTCTCTCTCAAAATCCAGTACCCTCGTGTTGATATCAGTTATATTTACAGGGGTTTGGATATTGTGCATAAAGAAATTGTCTGGATCTTCCACTTTCATGTTGTTTATTGGAGTGCTAAACATGTCCTCATACTGCTTTTTTAGGATTTCACTAATTTCTTTTGTCATCCTCTGTGTATGAACCTTCACTCGTACGAATTGGTCCAATACTGGCAGTGGTTTTTGCTTTTTGATTTTGCATATATGAAGAAGTATTTTAGATTTTTTTTTATTTCCTGAATTGCTTTCTGTTCTAACTGCCTTAATTCAGTCTGATATGAGTGCTTCAATTTGTGCTCGATTTCTTCAATCTCCCTATTTAAATTATTGCTTCTTTGATGGGAAAATCATGTCTGCTTAAGCATCTCTGTTATTTTTTTCCTTTGTTTGTAATGTCGTCTGCGTTCTCTTTCTACGTTGGATGTCTTTCTAGCTTTCCTCAACGGAACATGTTTCAGACAGACTTCCCCCTCCCAGGGAGGGGGGGTTGCGCAGACAGCGGTGCGGCGACATGATACCGTCATGCTTGTTTGCTAATTTTAATTTGGGAGTTCAGTCCACCTGTTTGGCCTTCGGTTGCAATAGTTTACCAGAATAGGGGTATGTTTTGGGGCGCCTACCCCTCAGGGTGCCTATCCCGGTCGATGGCAGACATAGAATGCTCCCTATCATAAGGGGGGTCTCTATAGGCCATTGCTCCTCGTGCCTCTCTAGAGGGGGGCCAGGTTCTGGCTCTTGGTCCCCAGTAGGCAAGAACTCCATGCATTGACTGATGCCAGAAAGTTATACATATCCATTCAGCCAGGATAGCTCCGGGGAGCCTCCGGGACTCACCCAGAAAATGGCTTTTCATTACATTCAACGCTGGTTTTCTTGTACTTGTATTAATTTTTCCATTGTGTTTTCTATTATCTGATCTAGGCTATATAGTTTTAATTATTTAATTAACAAATTTCTTTTAAAAGTATCATCCAGTATAGTGTAATTTATTTTCATCCCTTATTCGTCGTAATTTTTATTTTCATTATTGTAATGTTTTAAAATCTTTTGATGAAAATTACCTTGAATTTGTAAGTAAGTACAGTAATTATATTTTGTGATCTTTTTTTTTGCAGTACACATCTTCGACAAACGAATTTCAGCCACAGACAAAACGTTGTCGAGGGCAAGCTCATGTTCAGTTTCATGGCCGTGAATTCAGGAATGAAAATGGCAATGTTAATCCATTTCGTCGGCGAATTATGGTTTCCAGAGCTCCCACCAGGTTTGGCCACCCATCCACAATGCACCCAAGATTTGGACCACATCGTTCTTCTCTTTTTCCCATTACTCGCCCTGATTACAATCAGTGTTCTCCTAACTTTCAACAAGCCCAAAGAAGGCCTCAGAATCCTGGGGCATTTGAACCAAGATCATTTTCCAACTTGCAGAACCAGGTACAAGTGGCTGGTAATCAAGGCATGTCTGTGATCTCTAATAAAGTTCACGGATATCACAACGGTCCTCCCCCTGACACAGCTGCTTGGCCCCAGTCACCACATTACCGGTTTGGAGGACCTCCGCAATTTAACAGTCCCAGTGAACACTTTCTACATGGACTTTCAGGACTTCCATGCCCTCCACCCTCCTCTTTAGACAATTCATTTAATCTTGGAAGCCCACTTAGATGTTATGATGAAGTAATGCAATCGTCTGAAGTTGAATGTGTCGGTGATTTAAACAGAGGGTGGTACGCTCAACATGACGTGACACATCCTATGCCACTGTCTTCAGAACAATACACACCATCTGCTTTGGCACACAGTAAAGTGCCACCTCCTCCACCAGACAACTTGTTTCAAACATACCAAAATATGTCGCTGCCACATATCATGCAACGATCACATGGTATGCCACCACCACCACCACCACCACCCTCACCACAAAGTATGCCACCACCGCCACCACCACCACCACACAGTATGCCACCACCACCTCTACCACACAGTATGCCACCACCACCTCCACCACACAGTATGCCACCACCACCACCACCTCCATCACACAGTATGCCACCACCACCTCCACCACACAGTATGCAACGACCTCCATCACACAGTATGCCACCACCACCACCTCCATCACATAGTATGCCACCACCATCACACAGTATGCCACCACCACCACACAGTATGCTGCCATCATCGCATAGTGTGCCCCCGCCAAATCCACCTTCACCGCACAGTATAACCCCTCCATCACATAATATGAATCCACCACACAGTATGTCACAATTACCTCTATCACTTTACAGTATGACACCACCACATAACATGCCACCTCCATCCCTAGTACATCACTTGTCATCATCACACCATCAATCACCTACACCACCACTTCATGTGCAATTTGATATCACCCGAGCTCCACCCCCTATGCCTCCTGCAAGCTTTTAACTAAATGATAGTATTCGTTAGGGCTGAGCATGTAGATTAACAATTTCTCCCTTATTTGAATTTTGTGGATCTACTTGTCGGGGGGTCCTGCTGCCTGGGTAACAGCTTCTCCTCCTTATCAACCTACCCAGGCTTTACGCCCTGGAGAGGTCACTCCAGACCGACAACCAGAGCGCAACACCATAGTCTCCTGAGATTGATGGCTACCTACTACTACTACTTGACGTTACTGATTACACTTTGGTTTCCAGTTGTTGGACAGAAAAGTTGTTATCCAGATCCCCCTTAGGGCCAACAACCGAGCTTTCCCAGGATACAACCCACAACATTTGTTTAACTTCCAGGAACCTTCTTATTGTTAGGTAAACAGAGGCATCAGGTGTTTAAAATTTAGAATTGCTGTTTACTGTTGGACAGATCCCGATGCAAATCACGTGGCATTTCCAATTGCTTGAACTACTTAAGAAATATGTCCGAATAAATTCTTCTCTGGAGAGCCCCTTGGTGTGTTCCTGTTTACAGCAATCTCACTGGGATTGCTGTACACTACATGCTATATCTCTCGCAAGAGTTCTGTTTGGCTTACTGGGAACCAGAACCAGAACCTGGCCTCCTCACAAAGGTGCAGAGAGCAAATGACATTCTGCCATCTCGCTGGCAAAGCATCCAGAAAAATCAATGAGGCTTGACAGACAACAGCTGGGTTCACAAAACTAAGAGCTTTGAAATTGCCAAGCAATTCCACAGACAAATAAACCAAAGCAAAACAATACATTTGAAGCTAGTTCGAGCTCTTTAGAACTGGTCACCACTACAAGGTGGCCTGGAAGTCAGTCCTCTGCCAGCTTGCCACTCAGTTGTATTGCTGATGTGTTGCTGTGTGCAACACAGTAGTGCTCCTTGGTTGCCATCTCTTTCAGTGGGTCCCAGTGTTTCTGAGCTAAGTGCTGGCCATCCTAGAACTTGTTCTGTGGGGGTCATTGCTTGTATATCCTTTGAATATTGATTAACTTCAAGGCATGTTTTTGTTTTTATCTATTGTTGTTGTGTGGACTTGACTTTTTGTACTTTGAACTGCATGCATCCAACAGTTACTTTCATGGGTGTTCATTTAGTGCTGCTCTTGAAATAACTAGAATGACTTCTCTTGTGTGTTTGGGAGTTCCCTTTCAAGGCCCGGCCACCAGGGTGGAATGCCTTACCCCGGGTAATTCAAGAGTAATTTGACTCCTCCGTGTAGGCTCTTGGTTGGGGGCATTCAAGTCAGTAGTGTTGGGGTTCACTTGGGGTTCATGTATTTTGTTTATATAGCATGCTGCAGTCGCCATTTGTAGTCTTAGTTCATTATGCTGTTTTTGGTTCCTGTTCTTTTGGTATTTGGAGCCGGTCGGCCGAGCGAACAGCACACTGGACTTGTGATCCTGTGGTCCTGGGTTCGATCCCAGGCGCCGGCGAGAAACAATGGGCAAAAGTTTCTTTCACCCTATGCCCCTGTTACCTAGCAGTAAAAATTATGCATAAACAAGAGCTCGTCAAGTTTGCCCATTCCATTTGCAAATTTGAAGGGCATTTGTCATCTTTGCTATGTGGCGATGATAATCCTTTCTGCCTTCACCATGCTACCAGTTGGGTCAGTGATGCTTACGACCCCGAATCCTGTGAGGTTTGTTCCCCCACAACTTCTGATCCTGCTTCTGAAGTGGAAGCATTTTAGGCAGCTGCTGCTGCTTACAGGCTTTGTTTGCCTGGGTTCAGTAATTACCTAAGTGTAGTTACAGAATGAGCGCTATGCTCGTGGTGTCCCGTCTTCCCAGCACTAGTTATACATTAAAATTAAAGACATACGACGCTCTGAAATTACTGACAGTTTTGGCCTCCACCACCACCTCACCTAACTTGTTCCAACTATCTACCACTCTGATTGCGAAAGTTAATTTTCTTATATTCCTTCGGCAGCTTTGTTTACTTAGTTTAAATCTATGACCTCTTGTTCTTGAAGTTCCAGGTCTCAGGAATTCATCCCTATTAATAATTTTATCGATTCTCGTTACTATTTTGTACGTAGTGATCATATCACCTGTTTTTCTTCTATCTTTTAGTTTGGCATTTTTAATGCCTCTAACCTCTCCTCGTAGTTCTTGTCCTTCAGTTCTGGAAGCCATTAAGTTGCATGCCTTTGCACCTTTTCCAGTTTGTTGATGTGCTTCTTAAGATATGGGCACAATACAACCACTGCATATTCCAGCTTTTGTCTAACAAAAGTCACAAACAATTTCTTTAGTATTTTGCCATCCATGTATTTAAAAGCAATTCGGAAGTTAGAAAGTGTAGCATAGGCTCCCCACACAATTTTCTTTGTGGTCCTGAGGTGATATAGTTTTATATCTAGAACCATCTCTTTATCAGACCTCTTTAAACATTTCTCACATAATTTATAGGTTGTGTGGGGTCTGTTTTATTTCATATTCTATAACATGGTATTTATTCACATTAAACTCAATTTGCCAAGTGGTGCTCCATACACTTATTTTGTCCAGGTCCTCTTGAAGGGCATGACAATCATCAAAGTTTCTTATCTTTCCTATTATCTTAACATCATCATCAAACATGTTCATATAATTCTGTGTGCCATCTGGTAGATTGTTTATGTAGACAATGAACATTACCGGTGAAGAAGTGTTCACAGTTTTGTGTTCAGATGGATATTCCAGAATTACTCTGTAATGTAGTTACCTGGAATTGGAGGTGTTGGTAATCATTTTGGCTCTGGCCATGCCTCCTCAGTCCAAAGCAGATGTGGAATGCCCTGCTTCCAGCTTATGAAACATCGGAGGGTTTCTGAGTAGGGGTAGAATTTAGCTCTGGGTGTATCTTAGGCAGTTCCAGTGGGTTGCCCCTTCATTCTTGAAGGTGGAGGTAGTTGAGCCCTCTAGTCCCACCAAGGTTATAGAGTATTTTTCCCTTCACAACCACATGCTTCCGGTGTCTTCCTGGGAAGATGCATTTCTTTCCCAGGCTTTGGGTGAATATTTTGCCCCTGCCCTGGGGCCTTCATTGCAAGCTCCCAGGTTTCGGGATGAGGGAAGGCAGGAACCCGAATTGGGCCTGTGGATATCCTATGATTCCTCTTGGTATATTGTTACTTCTGAGAAGGGGTTTCTTTTCCTCCTGATAGATATGAGTTTGATATCTCCATGACATGGCATTGTCATGGAGATAATAGGACCCCTGACAGCTGAGTGGACATCTCTTCGGATTCATAGTGCTGAGGTTCCGGGTTCGAATCCCGGTGGAGGCGGAGACAAATGGGCAAAATGTTTCTTTCACCCTGATGCCCCCTTTTACCTAGCAGTAAATGCGTACTTGGGAGTTAGACAGCTGCTACGGGCTGCTTCCTGGGGAGGGTGTTTAACTAAAAGGAGGCCTGGTCGAGGACCGGGCCGCGGGGACGCTAAGCTCCGTAATCATCTCAAGATAGTCCCTGCAGTATCTGTTTACATGTGCCATTCAGTCCTGCGGATTTGTCTTACTGCCATATTTATTACGTTTCGTCGTTCCAGACTCATCCTGGCTAGCTGATAACCTTACCTTACCTTGAGGTTACCTTACCTTGAGGTGCTTCCGGGGCTTAGCGTCCCCGCGGCCCGGTCGTCGACCAGGCCTCCTGGTTGCTGGACTGATCAACCAGGCTGTTGGACGCGGCTGCTCGCAGCCTGACATATGAGTCACAGCCTGGTTGATCAGGTATCCTTTGATCCTAATAGATAACCCTCTATTTTTTTTTTTCTTTCGGGGCTCGACAGGGGGCTCTGTTGTTCACGTATGCTTGAGTGGCATGAGGTGTCAAACATTTTTTGTGTGTTCTTTGGTGGCCCTCCTTCACCCAAGTCGTCTCTGCTTGACGACTGTGGTTTACTACTGCTCTTGCCAAGTATGTGGTAAGTGGCAGCTTGATATTCACCAGCCTGTGCTGTCTGTGGCCTTAATTGTAGATGATCACTGGGCTCATATGCACTTGGACTGTCATGCATTTTTGGGCCTTTGAGCTCTCTGTTGATAAGCTCTGTTAGGATATGGACTCACTTGGCTTGATTTCGTGTATGGAGGATTTTGCCATGATGCTCACACCCATTCTTTGGGAGACAGGTTGCATTTTACATGGCTCAGATATTAGCAGGCCATCTTAGCCCAGTCTTTAGATTCATTTTGGTCCTTAGCCCTTTTGTCTGCTGCTTCTTTTTTTGCATTGTCTCTTTCCTAATGATAGTGTTGTGCAATTCCTTTTGATGGCTGCTATGTCTTGCCATCCGATTTCCCATCTTTTAACCACTTGGGGGTTCTGCTCTTTATTCTTGGAGGCAATCTGGTAGGGCTGGGGCCATTCCTGCTGTTGGACAAGGGTAGGCCTTCAGGGGTGCCAGATTCTCAGGCTGTTGCATTTCCTGTGGGGGTAGAGCCTCATCTTCCACTCTTTGGCAACACACTTTTGCATCGAGGAAGGATGGCACCGCTCGTGGCTTTCATCAGCCCTTTCACAGTATGCCCCTTTTATGACACTATGGAGGGTTATCTCGATTACTTTGCCAATTCCTGGTCTTATCTTTTGTAGATGTTGCAGGTTGTTGTTACCTCGGCCAGCTGTGGATATAGTCAGTTCTGCTCCTTTTTCTGTGTTGAGTCTTGTTGGCTTCCTGAAGCTATCGTACACTGATCGATGCGACACCACTTTGTACCATCAGTCACAGAGTTCTATTTACCTACCGGGGACCATGAGCTAGAACCTGGTCCCCTCAGAGAGGCGCAGGGAGCAATGATCTATGATCACTTTACATTTAAAGGTTATCTTTCATCCTTGCCACCACCTAGGGGAAGGTGCCCATAAAGATTGGTGAATTAAAACAGACTACTACATGGTTAAAAATGAGACCACAGCCCCAAAATTGCAAAAGTACTCTCCAACAAGGAAAACAAATAACCAAAATTTTGTGCATCTTGCCACTGCTAGTTTACTCCACCTCCCCCTTCATTGGGGGAAGGAGGGAGCCAGCCTGGGTCAGTTAGGCCAAGCACCGGTCAGTTCTAGACTGATGTTTGTGCCTGTTAGTTGTAGTTATCGTCGTCACTCTGGTTTCAGTTTCTTGTTTGATGTGGTGTTTTTGCCTTTGAGGCTGCTCTTTTATATGAGAGTGTGAGTGAGCCTATAGTTTAGTGTAATGGAACTACATGTGCTCATGGCTTACTTCCTTGTGTGTTCTGTAGGTACTTCCTTTGCGTAGTCATGGGTGTCTTCTCTGTGGTATTCGGGAAACACTACCGTTAGGAGGCTTCCTTGCTTGGAGTGATCCTCGCCCTTCAAGTAAGCCAGTGGTCTGTGAATTCTGTCTTTCCTTGGATTTGGGTGTTTTCTGTGGGGGAGCCCCTATGGCTTCCCGGAGCTTATCGGGCTAATGTATGTTATATTAGACCGGGACGTAAGCTAAGGAGTTCAAACCTACCAGGGACCAGCACCAAAACCTGGCCCCTTCAGAGAAATTTCAGGGAGCAATGGCCCTGGAAAATCCCCTTGTGGTTGGGGTTTTCCTTATCTGCCATTGGCTGGGGCTAGGCACCCAGAAAGGTAGGCATAACAAAACAAAACCCACATGGTAAAAAACTAAAACAGAAAATCGAACAGAGAGGTAGAAACCCTACAATCACAAGAAAACAAGCAAACAAGCAAACATCACACTTTACTGCCGTGCCGATTGCCCGCACAGCCCTCCCTGCCCCGAGAGGGAAAGGGGGAGGTCCCGGACTTCACCGTACTGGCCACCTAGCATTAGTCCGTAAGCTAATGTCAACCGGGACAGACGCTTCTCTGGCCTCAGTTTCCTTGGCGGTGTTTGCCTTTCGTGGCGTTCACTGCCGTGTGTTGTGTTGTGTAGTGTCCAGGTGTTCCTCATCAGTACTGGGGCTGCATGCGCTTAGGAGCTTCCTTCCCTAAGTGCCCTGTGAGTACTGCCCCTATGTGACAGGGTTATCTTCCCTGGGGCGTTCGGGAACCATTCCCGTAGAGGTTCTTGCTGCTCGGCATTTGCCTCCCCCTTGGGGCCCCTTGTTTGTCCCTGGGTAGGGACTGGTATTGTGCTGGTTAGGGCGTTAAGTTGTAGCACAACATACCACCTACACAGCGACCGGTTCCTGTTGCCTCTGGGGCGGTGTACTTTTGCAGGGTTTTTCTTTTGTTTTTATTTTAATTTGCCTGGTGGGGGTCTGCCTAGTGTGGCCATAGTTCCACTGGTAGTGTTTGGTGGCCCTCTGGTAGGCCCCCATGATTGTACACGTCGCAGGGGTTTGCAGTGTTTTCCTCTACCCCTAGTTAGTTTTGGATTTTAACCGATTAGCAACACCTTGCCCGGGCTTCCCATAGTTGTTACCCTACGGGCCCTGGAAAATGCTGTCGGGGCTCGGTGGACCATTGAATGTGTCTTCTGGGTAACAACCCATCTTGTGCGGGTTCATTGGTTGCTGTGCCCTTTTCTCCGGGTGACAGTCGCCACTTCTACCTCCGTCATGTTGCCTGTTTGGTCATTGACACCTTGACCCGGAGTCTTGCGAGTTGTTCTGTTCTCCAGTACTCTCCTGATGTTATTACTGTTCAGAGTACAGGCAGCATCCATGTTACAAGCTTCATTTAGGTTGCTGCAACGTGCTAGGTTAGTTTCCCACTCGGATGTCCTGAGGCCACACCATTTTGGTTAGGTGCTGTTCGCCCTTTTCCCTCCCTGTTTCCGGCTCCTGACCGTCGGTGGGTTTCAGGGTCAGGACGTGGTTTAGTTGGGACCGAGGGCGGTTTTCGGGGGCTGCCCCGTTTGGGTTGGGGACGGAGGTTTTCGTGCCTCTTCCTCCAGCCAAGACTTCTGGGTCTTACCAGCGGCCCTTTCCTGCTGCCTTTTTCCCTGGACTCTTCCTTTTTTTAAGTGGCAGAGGGCATGAAGGAAGGTTCTGCCCCGGGGTCTCTGTTGCAGGTTCCCGGGGCTGTGGGGGATGCCTGTTAGAAGTTCTGGGGCGGTTTGCCCCTGCCTGGGTTTTCTGCTTCTGGGCGGAGTTTTTCGTCCATCTAGTCTGCTTGCTTCCCACATTTGCTGGTGTTTCGTATCTATTGCGTCGGTCATGGCCCCCTGTTTC